GGGAAAAACATCCTAAAAGTAACTCCAAGGACCTCCTCGCTAGTCCGTGCCCAGCTGAGCACAGAAGGGCTCATGTTCACTGGCAAGACAGAAGCAGGTGTGTTACTCAAATTGTGTATCGTTTAAAAAATGGCTATTCAGTACTGTTTATACTTGGCATACACCTCAAAAAGGGGGCTCAAAATAACGAGAAAAAAAAAAATCCCCCAAGACAGAATCCCACTCTTCAGTCACAGATGGGATGCCCCATCCCTGGAAGTGTCCAAGGCCAGGCTGGATGAGGCCTGGAGCAACCTGGTCTAGTGGAAGGTGTCCCTGCCCATGGCAGGGGGGTTGGAACTGGATGGGCTTTAAGGTCACTTCCAACCCAAACTGTTCTGTGATTCTATGAATTACGCTGTGTGAGGAGCTAAAGCCAACAAAGTGCAGTAGCTGAAAGGTGAAGTAAGGCAGCACCAAAAATCAATGGCACAGTTTTAACAGGAGTAATTAATTAACTGAGATGACTCACCAAAGGGCTGTAATGGCTGCTTCATCTCTTGAAGAGTTTTATCTGGACCGGCGAGTATCCTAAAGACACCTCAGCCCAACCGCGACTTAGGAGGCTCGGTAGAAGCCTCGAGGGATGAATGCTGATGCTCATTCTGTAGAAGTTTTGACTAGAAGCTGTTGGTGATGTCTCCGAAGATACACTCTGTGGAGACATCGATCAGTAAGGGTAGTGAAATTACTCCTAAAGAGAGTGAAAACACAATTACTGCACATCTGAAGAACAGGAGATAAACCGAGTACTCACCAGCATCAATATAGTGTCTGTAAATGCAGGAGTAAAAGTGTTGCTAAAGGGGTGTAAAGTGTGACCTGAAAGGACAGAAATGATTCATTACAGAAGGGCAAGGAAACCAGACTCAGAGAGGTGGAGTCACACAAGCATTACTCAGTAGAGTTGCGGAGAAGCAAATGATGCTTAACTACATGAAATGGTAGAACAAAGGAACGTGGAAGACAAAAGGCCAAGACAGACGTGATATGAAGACAACAAAAACAAATGGGCTAAGCAACTGGAAAGTGAAGCTGAAAATGGAGTTTAATCAGGCATTAAAACCAGTATCACTGACAGTCTGAAAGATCACATAGGAGATGGATGTTGCTCAGAAATAACAGGAGGAAACGAGACGGGGAAAGGCAGACAATAAAGTCATTCCAGCATTTCGGGGGGTGGAGGAGTTGCCACCGTGGCACGGGAGCGCAGCCAGGAGGAAGGCCCCGGGGGCAGCACGGGGGGAGGGGGAAAACGAAGTCTGCGAATGCTGCAGGAGAAAAACGGCGTAACACGGGCTGAAATGGAAAGTTCCCGTGGCTCCGCTCCATGTTCTGACATAGCGAGGAAGAAGTCAAGCAGCAGCAGTCCCCCAGCTGTGTGACTGAACATTCACGCAGAGTCAGCGGGGAAGGGCCAGCGGTTACGTCGGCGATGCACATCCCATCGTCGCTGCCGCGGCTCGGGTTTGAAGCTGTCTTTGATGAGAAATCCAAAGACTGAAGCAACGTATTAT